TGATTTCCACCGTGAATGGAAATTGTATGGAAGAACTTTACCAAAAGCGAGCAAACTTACTATGGTAAGGTAGAAGTATGGGATGTCTTTCCGAATAAGAAAGAGTAGTTGCGCTTGATAAGCTTCCATTTAGTCTCATAACTTCTCACTCTTCTAGAAAGGGGTTTAAGGTTACAAGGGAACTTTTGGATTTTAAGGGGACCATATATGGTATTCATAAGGAAATGCCTTTTTTGAGCTATGGCAGCTAGACGTGATGTAGTCGCTCTAGCCTCCGAACTGGTGAGCTTATAATCATTGTAAATGTAATACCTCTATGTGCACGATGAATGTTGTGGAAAAATCTATAAATGTAAGACAAGATTCGAAGAGCCTTGTCTAATGTCGAAAACTTTCCTAAAATATCTTCAAAATTATCATTGGAAAATGAAGCGTGAAACATGACTGTGCGCATTTCTACATCGGTGTCAAGGGGAGCACTGTGCGATATATCCCACTGAGAGCTATATTGGCGTAGCCGGTGTGGTCCATGCCACCAAAGTTATGATGAGGCTAGCTCAGAAGACGAAACCCCCCGGCTGCCTTAATCAGCAGGATTTTCTCCAGAGCGAACATTAAACCAACTGCTTACATCTGTAACATCTTGAATTTTACTGACACGGTTAGCAACAAATGTGGTCCACGTAGATGGAGTTTTTCTAAGCCATGCGAGGACGATCGTAGAATCCGTCCAACAAAATACCTTTTGGAATGAAATGTCGACTTCATTCCGAATGTTTTTTAATAATTCAGTTGCAAAAAAGGGCTCCGCAAAGTTCTAACCGTGGTAAAGAAACCGACTTAAAGGGGGCTACTTTGGTTTTGCAGCTCAGGAGGTGAGTATAAATATTTTTATTCGGAGTTATTATCCGAATATATATCACCCCCGCGTATGCCCTTTCTGAGTCGTCAGAAAAGACATGAAGTTCGCGGAACAATCTGGCGTATAATGAACCCATCGAGGAATATGAATGGAATTCACATCCAGATAACAGTCCACGAAATTTCACCAATCCCGTTCTGTCGTGGACAGATCTTCTGCATAACTATTTTTGCGGTTACAATTACTGGACCTAACCATCCAAGCGAATTGGTTTTACATCGTTAATCATGTCTTCAGGTTTTACCAATTTAAAATCGCCATAGGGGAGATATTCACTAAATTCTCCTCTGTATGCCTAAACATAGCATCAAGTGGGCGGTGTAAAACTGATAGGGGCCAAGCTTATGTATATGTTTACATGACTTTCTGAAAATTTCGAAAACCTTAGTAAGAAGGAGCACATCCGTTTTCAAATATAATTGCATATAATCGCGTAAAGTTTGACACTTAAATGTTTGCTGCAGATTTATCGCATGTTTATAATCATTAATACTACATGATTTTTCATTAAGACTACTATTAAATGCATCAATTAGTAGAAGCACAGGCTCATTCAACTTACTAAAAGAATTTAAATATTCATAACAGAATATACCTTTCATTCTTATAACATTAAATTCACTATCAATGGGGAAATGTTTTCTAACATACAATAAATCTGCATTTTCGCAAAAGCTAGCTAATGCATCTAAACTAGATGCCATAAACCTATGCGAATCTAAAAATCCATATTCTAAAGTATATTTATTACCCATATCGATTGTATGCGATAATGAAATATATACCTCTTTATTCTGAGGAATTATAGTTGTCCTACCAGGTATTGTCTTTAGAAGTTCTTTAATAAATAAATGACAATCATATGATGAGAACTGATGGAAAAAATAGGAATGAATTTGGGGATAACAAAGTTCAAGTTACACTCCTTATGTGCAGTCCCTTCTAAAACACATTCGAAGTCTGCATAAACAACTAATGGAACATCTAATTGTTTTTTTATATTTTTTGAATTCTAACTTATCTTTGCCAGACTCTGGCATTTTTGTAACTATCCGACTACACTTCTCTTATGTTTATTCATAAGGTCTAACTTAGCTGTATAATAGAAACATTGATTATATATCTGTAATCGTGCTCCTTTTGATGAAAGTAGTAATGATTTGTATATTATTTTTAATTATATTACTCAATTTGAAACATCTTTTACTAAAATGCAGTGAGCCTTCTCATCCTCCTCTAGCAAAATCAGGTTGATCTGAGTAGTTTTTTCTTTTATGGTGTTATAAAAGGGCCCAACAACCGAGTATGTAGAATTATTATAACCAAACACATTCACACTTATGTTGTGATTATTTTCTTCGAAGGCTTTAATATTACTCAATTCCAATGGGAACTCTTAACCTTCGAAGTTTAATACAATACAATACCATCCTCTAATATTATTATTGGAGCATTTATATCTTCTTGAAATTCTGATATTTTATTTTTAATGGAGTCAATATGCGTTTCGAACGCATCATTGACATCATCAGACACCGTCAGTTGCATCATTTTTGTTGAATGCTTCATATTAATTTTTATAATTTGATCGTCACAGATATTTATATATCTGCTATTAATATAATATTAAACTTTATTAGAGTAAGTTTAGATACAACGTTTACTAATATTGATTCAAAAAAATTCAGAAAAAAATTATTAACCCTTTCAGTGTTTTCGTCGAATATATTCGACATTTAAAAATTCTCTCTTTCTGTGCGATTTTTCGGTTATCATATGTACCGTTAACATTGAAGTTTTTGTTTTTGCTGAAAAACAGACGAAACTGTCCGAGGGTTAAAATGAAAATTGTTTTTTTTTTTCTAAACTCCATGCCTTTATATGATTTTAAGTACAAAATTTTAGATTTTTATTACGACAAAATTTTTTTTGACACTGAAATGGTTAATTTCGATTTCAAATTTTACCGATGTATATTCATATGTCTTAATTCGGTTTAGGAATCCACTTTTAATTAAAGTGATTATATTATTAATCATCTGCACACCTTTTGCTTGATGGTCGTTAGTCTTTCAATGTTTAACCCATAATCTGGCAGGTATATTAACATTACAAGACTCTCACATTTTATATGCCCTTGATGTAGTAGGTCTCTCTCGCTCTTCTTGTTGATGTGATGTTTGTTGTTGCTATTGATATTGGTGTTGATAGCTATCGTGATGATGTTGCTGCTGTTGATAGTCTTGTTGATATTGTTGCTGGTGATATTGATGGGGTTGCTTTTCTTGATGATGCTGTTGTTGATATTGATGTTGTTGCTGCTGTTGGTAGTGTTGTTTTTGATATTTAAGGGGTTGCTGTTCTTGCCGTTGCTAATGCTGATATGCTTGAGGTTGTTGATGATAATACTGCTGATGTTGCTCATATAACTGTGAATTAAAATCTATTCTTTGGGGTTGGTGATGTGGGTGGTTGATTGCAAAATGTAATTTTAATGCTTTGGAATGCATTACAACAATATTGAATATATAAACCATATGTATTTGGCAATGATGTTTATATGAAGATCTGTTAGCCATGGAAGCCATTATTTTTTTTAACAAAATAATATTATTTTGAAAATGAGCTGAGTCGAAATGTAATCTTTGTAAGTTGAAATTCCAACATAATGTGAAGGCATTTTCAATTTAAAATAAGTGTAGCCTTTCTACCGATGTAAAACATGATTGACGAATAAAAACTGGAACCAGTTTTTTTTTTCATTTTCTAAATCAGAATTACATTTACATTATTGAGTATCACGATCGCGTATCAACACATTTTCCTCGCCCAATATTTTGAGGTTTTTCCTTTTTTCCACACAAAAGGTTGAATACCTGTTTAGAATATTAATTAGCACCAACATAAGAACATAAATGCATTCTAACGCCGGTGGTTAAACAAACAGTAGCAGGAGTCTGTTAAACTAATACCTACCTAACAAGAAACAATGTTTTCTTTCTTTTACATACCTGTTTATTTTTTTATTTTCTTCAATGACAAACTTCGGTATTGGCAATTTAAAATGAAATGTAAACATTATAAAAAATCGGATATGGAATAACTTAATAAGAAATACCTTTTTTCATTCTCATAATCATAGCGATATGATTTCCACCCTTTCTAATAGGTTTCTCAAGAATCAATTGTTTACGAAAATTTTTTTCAAAACGAAAACCACAAATTAAAGAGTATACGATCAAGTGGTAAATTAATATTTGAAATTGGATTATATGAGGCCAGTTTTTGCCGCGACAACAAACTCTACGGTTTGTTACTTGCTACACCATCCAATAATTAATCCGTATAAACAGACTACTAAACTTCGAGTGGTTTTCAACGCCTCTAATAAAACTTCAAACGGGAAAAGTCTTAATGACATTTTATATGTGTGTCCCACACTGCAATTTGATTTAGTCCTGCTTATCCTTAGGTGGATACGTTTTAAATTTGTTTTTATCTGCGACATCACACAGATGTACTGCCAAATACGTGTTGTTCCGGCCCATACTCCACTTCAACGTATTGTTTTTCTGGATTCTCCTGAAAACCCTGTACAGGACTTTGAATTACAGACAGTGACATTTGGGGTAAATTGCGCCCCCTAATTGGCCATACAGACGATACCGACGATGAATATCCGCTTGCTGCGCACATACTTCGTAGGTACGTTGACGACGTGCTTACCGGATATCATGACTTACGTACATCATTAGAATCGCGCGATCAGGTAATATCTGCCCTTTCATCCGCTAAATTTGAATTAAGAAAGTGGACAGCAAATGACAGTACAATTTTACAAAATCTTCCAACGGAAGATAAAATCGATGCTAAGGTCCTTTCCTTTATTGAAGCTAGCAGTTCTAAGTCATTAGGTATCAGATGAAATGCTCAGCTTGATTTATTTTATTTCAGTGTGAGCGCCCTTCCCACAAAAGTTCACTATAAAAACGTGAAATATTGTCAACTACTGCCAAACTATTCGACCCATTTGGATGGTTAGGTCCAGTAATTGTAACCGCAAAAATAGTTATGCAGAAGATCTGTCCACGACAGAACGGGATTGGTGAAATTTCGTGGACTGTTATCTGGATGTGAATTCCATTCATATTCCTCGATGGGTTCATTATACGCCAGATTGTTCCGCGAACTTCATGTCTTTTCTGACGCCTCAGAAAAGGCATACGCGGGGGTGATATATATTCGGATAATAACTCCGAATAAAAATATTTATACTCACCTCCTGACCTGCAAAACCAAAGTAGCCTACTTTAAGTCGGTTTCTTTACCACGGTTAGAACTTTGCGGAGCCCTTTTTTTGCAACTGAATTATTAAAAAAACATTCGGGAGGTGAGTATAAATATTTTTATTCGGAGTTATTATCCGAATATATATCACCCCCGCGTATGCCTTTTCTGAGGCGTCAGAAAAGACATGAAGTTCGCGGAACAATCTGGCGTATAATGAACCCATCGAGGAATATGAATGGAGTTCACATCCAGATAACAGTCCACGAAATTTCACCAATCCCGTTCTGTCGTGGACAGATCCTCTGCATAACTATTTTTGCGGTTACAATTACTGGACCTAACCATCCAAATGGGTCGAATAGTTTGACAATAGTTGACCATATTTCACGTTTTGTATAGTGAACTTTTGTGGGAAGGGCGCTCACACTGAAATAAAATAAATCAAGCTCAGCGTTTCATCTGATACCTAATGACTTAGAACTGCTAGCTTCAATAAAGGAAAGGACCTTAGCATCGATTTTATCTTCCGTTGGAAGATTTTGTAAAATTATACGGTCATTTGCTGTCCACTTTCTTAATTCAAATTTAGCGGATGAAAGGGCAGATATTAACTGATCGCGCGATTCTAATGATGTACGTAAGTCATGATATCCGGTAAGTACGTCGTCAACGTACCTACGAAGTATGTGCGCAGCAAGCGGATATTCATCGTCGGTATCATCTGTATGGCCAATTAGGGGGCGCAATTTACCCCAAATGTCACTGTCTGTAATTCAAATTCCTGTACAGGGTTTTCAGGAGAATCCAGAAAAACAATACGTTGAAGTGGAGTATGGGCCGGAACAACACGTATTTGGCGGTACATCTGTGTGATGTCGCAGATAAAAACAAATTTAAAACGTCTCCACCTAAGGATAAGCAGGACTAAATCAAATTGCAGTGTGGGACACACATATAAAATGTCATTAAGACTTTTCCCGTTTGAAGTTTTATTAGAGGCGTTGAAAACCACTCGAAGTTTAGTAGTCTGTTTATCCGGATTAATTACTGGATGGTGTAGCAAATAACAAACCGTAGAGTTTGTTGTCGCGGCAACAACTGGCCTCATATGATCCAATTTCAAATAATAATTTACCACTTGATCGTATACTCTTTAATTTGTGGTTTTCGAAGTAGGCATGCCTCGTTTTGAAAAAAAATTTCGTAAACAATTGATTCTTGAGAAGCCTATTAGAAAGGGTGGTGTTTGTTTATTATACAAACCGTTTTCTTTCTCTGGGATTGATAAGTGTTGGTGGTTTGTGTAGTTTTTTGGTTTTTGGTTTTATTGTGAATTCAATGTTGTGTTTGTTGTAATGGTGTTATGTATGTACAAAATTCTTTTAATTGTTGTATGTGACGTTTAATTCAATGTAGTGATATTGTTAAATGTAGTGTATTTAATTTAATTCAATGTAACATGTTTTGTATTGTTAAATGTTTTGTATTTAATTTAATTTAATTCAATTTGATATGTTTTGTATTGTTAAATTTTGTGTAATTAATTCAATGTAAGATGTTTCTTGTATAAATTGTGTTTTGTGTTCACTGTCACTGCGGGGGATGCTGGCGCTTTTAATACCGAGAGATAACTAAAACTAGCGGCCTTTTGTTGCGATCGCTTTTAAAGCCGTCTTATGTTTTCCCAATTTTATTTGAATTATTCCAGTAAAATTGGAAGGTACCAAAAAATAAATAATTACAATTGTATATATGTATGTGAGTACATATGTACATTATGCGAACCGCTATTCGACAGCAAATAAAAATATGAGAACAGTGAGCACCAAAAGTGTGTATCATTGGATTTATTCTAAATATGGTTCCAGACCAGACATTTTCCCATTTTCCACTCAGTCGGAGCGAGTCTATCGTCTTTAATAACTATCAAATCCCCTTCCTTCAGATTTTCCTTTTCATATTTCCATTTTGTTCTACGGTGTAGTTCCCTAAGGTATTCTGATTTCCATCTTTGACAAAAATGTTGGGAAATTATTTTAAGTCTGTTCCATCTGTTAGCTAGAGTCAAGTCACCATCGGAAAAATCAGGTTCAGGTGGAGCGAGAATTGGCGTGCCAATCAAAAAATGACCTGGTGTCAGTGGAGAGAAATCATTTGGATCTTCACTAGCGGAACACAAGGGTCTTGAATTTAAACATGATTCAATTCGTGTTAAAATAGTACAAAATTCCTCAAACGTAAAGTTCATTTTCGGAATTGATTTTCGCAAATGTAGTTTGAACGATTTGACGCCGGCCTCCCATAGACCGCCCATATGAGGTGCCCCAGGAGGAACAAATTTCCAATTGAGGTTTTGCTGAATATTGTGCTGGATGACAGAATTTTGTAAATTTTTGAAAAATTGGAGTCTATCCCTTTTAATGATTTCAGCAGCTCCGACAAAGTTTGTTCCATTATCAGAATATATACATGATGGACAGCCCCGTCTGCCAACGAAGCGGGAAAATGCTGCAAGAAATGATTGGGTTGATAAATCGCTAGTAGCTTCTAAATGTATGGCCTTTGTTGCGAAACAGACAAAGACGCAAACGTATCCTTTAGTTATGAGACAAGCTCGTCCAGTAAAGTTTTTAATGTTAAATGGGCCAGCGAAATCGACTCCAACATTGGTAAAAGGTCGCGAAAGTAATGTCCTTTCGGGGGGCAGAGATGCCATTATTTGTCTTTGTGATTGGCTTTTGTACAATACACATGGTTTGCAGTTGTGGATGACCTTTTTGACCAAGGGTTTTAATCTAAATATCCAAAATTCAGATCTTAAGACTCGTGTCATTAGTTGGCTTCCACCATGTAATGTTATTTTATGTGTAAATTCAACAAGTAATTGTGTTAATTTTGCATTGTACGGCAAAAGAATAGGGTGGCGCTCATTGTAGGTGAGAACTGGCGACTGTATTAATCTACAATTTGCTCGCATGATACCCTTCGAGTCTAAAAATGGGTTCAGAGTTAATAAAGAACTGCTTGATGATATTCGAGATCGTTTTTGTAATAATTCATATTCAGCTGGAAAGTAGAATTTTTGTGTGCTGATTATGACAGCCTTTTTTCCTTCATGGATCTCTTCAGCCGTAAGTTCTGGACTTGTAATTCTTAAATGTCGTCTATTTTCTCCAGTATTTCTCCAAAATCTCAAAGCATATGCATAGGTACGGTAAACTTTCGAAAGAGATGAGAAATTCTTTAATGGGTCTTCCTCAATGTTTGTTGCCAAAACCTTAACTGTTTTTGCTTCAATATTAGTTTCTTCAATAATTTCATGTGAAGGCCAATTATTTTTTGGTAATTTTAACCAATGCGGTCCATTCCACCATAATTGGTGTTTAATTAATTCGCTAGGTGGGCAACCACGGCTCGCAATGTCCGCTGGATTATCTTCTGAATCTACATGTCTCCAGTTTTCATTTCCAACATTTTCTAAGATTTCAGATATTCGATTTCCGACAAAAGTCGACCAATGACATGGGGGTTTCTTTAGCCATGCAAGAACTATTGTGGAATCGGTCCAATATTGCACAGAAAGGTTTGAAATTTGAAGATTTTTTAGTATTGAGGCTGTCAATTTTGACAGTAAAACAGCTCCGCACAATTCCAACCTTGGAAGAGAGATTTTTTTAATAGGGGCGACTCTTGTTTTTGCGGTCAAAAGGAATGTTTCTATTTCTTTGTTTGGTTTCTCCACTCTAATATATAATGCGGCAGCATAAGCACTCTCCGAAGCGTCACAAAATCCATGTATTTCAATATTGCTGCTTGGAGAGTAATGAATCCATCGTGGAATTTTAAGATTTTCAATATCACCACTATTTTTTACGAAATTTTTCCAATTCAGCATAGTAATGGGTTTTAAAATGTCGTCCCAGTTTATCTTATCCAGCCAAACTTGCTGCATAACGAGTTTAGCTACTACAACAATTGGGGCTAGCCAACCACAAGGATCGAATAATTTGGCTATGGTAGAAAGTACTTCCCGTTTTGTATAGGAATTTCTATTTTCCATGTTTGGAGGTGTGAAAGTAAAGAAATCTCATATATTCCATCGAATGCCTAAAGTTTTGGTAGATGCGTCTTCAGAAATATCAAGCAAATTTACTGGGAGCAATTTTTCCTTTGACAAATCTTCAATAATTTGTGAGTCATTTGCTGCCCATTTCATTAACTCGAATCCTGCAGATTCCATGGCAGCAATAAGTTCTTTTCGAGATTTAATAGTTTCTTCTAATGTGTGTCCTCCAGCTAACACATCATCGACATATAAATTTTCCGAAATAATTTTTGAGGCTAATGGGTACATATCTTTTATGTCTTCTGCCAATTGCATGAGTGTTCGCAATGCCAAAAACGGCGCACAGTTTACTCCAAAAGTGACTGTAAGTAATTCATAGTCCTCTATTGGATCACAAGGTGATTTTCGGAATAAAATTCTTTGAAATTGAGTTTGGCTGGGGTTTAAAAATATTTGCCGGTACATTTTGGTCACATCGGCGTTGAAGACATATCTAAAAAATCTCCATTTCAAAACTTGCAAAACAATATCTTGTTGTAAAATTGGACCCGCAAATAAATTATCATTCAAGCTCTTTTTGTTTGATGTGGGACTTGATGCGTTAAAAACCACTCTAAGTTTCGAAGTAATTTTCTCAGGTTTTATAACTGCATGATGAGGTAAATAGTAATTTGGAGTTTTGTTAATATCATTTTGGGCAATCTTCTTCATGTGTCCCAACTCGAGATATTCTAGGATGGTTTTGTCATAAACTTCTTTGATTTCAGGTGTTTTCCAAAGTTTTCTTTCCATCCTATAAAATTGAGCAAGTGCAATATTTCTAGAATCTCCAAGTTCTTCACATTTTTTAAAGGGGAGGGTAACAATGTATCGGCCATCTTGATTTCTTTTTGTGGTTTCGATGTAATTTTGTTCGCAGTACACATCCTCTTCTGACCTCAAAACCTGTTTTGGGGTCTCTTCCACCTCCCAAAAACGTGTGAGTATTTTCTCCAATGAAATAGTATTGCAAAGTGTAATTTGTCTCTTATTTTGTGTACCATCTGCTAATGGTCCGCCAATAATCCATCCAAAAACAGTTTTTTGTGCCAGCAAACTTCCAATTGACTTCATAGGAGCTCCCATTGTAAATATAAGTGGGCTAATATCCATTCCAATTAGAAGATCTACTGGTTGGCTTATATAAAATTTAGGGTCTGCTAAATCCAAAGTTGAAGCATCTCTCAGTTGAGTTTTATCCAAGTTATAAGGTGGTAAATTTGAGGGTAATGACTTTAATACAGGTGCCCAAACTTCCAATTTAAAGTTGGGTTCTAATCTTGAACGTAATGTAAAAAGGCATGATTTAGCAGAAGTCTCCGAAATAATTTGATTGATTCCTGTAACATGTACGAGATTTCGCTTTGTTGGTAAATTCAATCGATTCTTCAATTTTTCCGTTATAAAAGATGACTGAGATCCAGAATCAATAATTGCTCTTGCATTATAAAACTGGCCGTTTGCTTCTATTTGTACGATTGCGGTGAAAAGTAATGTGTCTCTGGGATTTGTGGGATTATTTCCTTTATCCTGCAGAGTTAATGTGGTAATATTTTCTGGTTCTTTATTCGATGTGGACTGTATAAGTGTGGTAAGAGCTGCAGCACTTGTACTAGGGCGTGCTTCATCTCTATCTAGGGGTTGTATTGCAAGTTGGGTTTCCGTTCCCTTATGTAGCAAAGTGTGGTGTCTTTGACTGCAGTTCCTACAGCCAAAACGACTCTTGCATTCCTTAACTCCGTGATTTGAAGAAAGGCAATTATAGCATAAATGAGACATTTTCACAACGTGAATTCTGTCATTCACATTTTTTGATTGAAATTGTGGACAATCTCTAATAAAATGATTTGCTTTGCAGATTTGACAAGTATTTTGGTAAGCTTGTTTTGGTTGCTGAGAATTTGGGTTATTCCTATTCCCTGTATTTTTCGAGTTCGGGATAATATTTGTTTGAAAACTGTTGGTATATTTCATCCTTTTGTTTGGATCCGATTTTCCTTGGCCATATCTTGAAAAACTTGATTTAATGTTCCCAACGGATTCCAAAGTTTTAAATTTGTGCGTCAAGAATTTGTTAAAATCATCCCATGATTGTAAAGTTTTGCAGTCTTCAAGTGAATTTTCAAAATCTTCTAGAAAAGATCTGGGAAGTTTACTGGAACATAGGTATATAAGAATTGGATCCCAATTGATTTTCGCAAATGTAGTTTGAACGATTTGACGCCGGCCTCCCATAGACCGCCCATATGAGGTGCCCCAGGAGGAACAAATTTCCAATTGAGGTTTTGCTGAATATTGTGCTTGACAGAATTTTGTACATTTTTGAAAAATTGGAGTTTCCTTTTTAATGATTTCAGCAGTACGACAAAGTTTGTTCCATTATCAGAATATATACATGATGAACAGCCCCGTCTGCCAACGAAGCGGGAAAATGCTGCAAGAAATGATTGGGTTGATAAATCGCTAGTAGCTTCAAAAATAGTGTATGGCCTTTGTTGCAAACAGAAAAGACGCAAAGTGTAATTTGTTGTCGTCCAGTAAAGTTTTTAATGTTAAATGGGCTTCCAACATTGGTAAAAGGTCGCGAAAGTAATGTTTTCGGGGGGCAATTGACTTCTTTGTGATTGGCTTTTGTAAATATAAGTGGTTTGCTAATATTTTCCAATTTTAATCTAAATGGTCCATATAAAATTTAGATCTGCTAAATCCAAAGTTGAAGCACTGTCATGTTATTTTATCCAAATTATAAGTGTTAATTTTGATTGTAATGACTTTAATACAGGTGCCCAAACTTCCAATTAAAAGTTGGGTTCTAATCATTTGCTCGCATGACGTAATGTAAAAAGGGTTCATGATTTAAATTTAGCAGAAGTCTCCGAAATAATTTGATTGATTCCTGTAACATGTACGAGATTTCGCTTTGTTGGTAAATTCAATCGATTCTTCAATTTTTCCGTTATAAAAGATGACTGAGATCCAGAATCAATAATTGCTCTTGCATTATAAAACTGGCCGTTTGCTTCTATTTGTACGATTGCGGTGAAAAGTAATGTGTCTCTGGGATTTGTGGGATTATTTCCTTTATCCTGCAGAGTTAATGTGGTAATATTTTCTGGTTCTTCATTCGATGTGGACTGTATAAGTGTGGTAAGAGCTGCAGCACTTGTACTAGGGCGTGCTTCATCTCTATCTAGGGGTTGTATTGCAAGTTGGGTTTCCGTTCCCTTATGTAGCAAAGTGTGGTGTCTTTGACTGCAGTTCCTACAGCCAAAACGACTCTTGCATTCCTTAACTCCGTGATTTGAAGAAAGGCAATTATAGCATAAATGAGACATTTTCACAACGTGAATTCTGTCATTCACATTTTTTGATTGAAATTGTGGACAATCTCTAATAAAATGATTTGCTTTGCAGATTTGACAAGTATTTTGGTAAGCTTGTTTTGGTTGCTGAGAATTTGGGTTATTCCTATTCCCTGTATTTTTCGAGTTCGGGATAATATTTGTTTGAAAACTGTTGGTATATTTCATGTTTTTGTTTGGATCCGATTTTCCTTGGCCATATTTTGAAAAACTTGATTTAATGTTCCCAACGGATTCCAAAGTTTTAAATTTGTGCGTCAAGAATTTGTTAAAATCATCCCATGATGGTAAAGTTTTGCAGTCTTCAAGTGAATTTTCAAAATCTTCTAGAAAAGATCTGGGAAGTTTACTGGAACATAGGTATATAAGAATTGGATCCCATCCAGATACTTCAATTTTTAATGTTTCCAAAGTCTGTATGCAACTAGTGACTGCTCTTTGTAATTTTTCAATACTCGAACTAGAGTCTGTTGTAACATTTGGTAAATTAAACAGTATTTTTATTTGCTCGTTCACTTGCATCCTTCGATTTTCGTACCGATCGGTTAAAAGTTTCCAAGCTAATTCAAAGCCATCATTTGTTAAAGGGACATGACTGATTATATCTCTTGCCTCTCCTGTTGTCTTCTGTGTAAGATGAAATAGCTTTTCCACATTACTCAATTTTGAATTTTGAATATAAATTGCAGTGAATAAATCCCGGAATGTTGGCCAAGCATTGTATCCTCCTTTGAAAGAGTCGGTATCGCATGGTGGTAATCTAGATATCGGGGCAAAATCGGCTTCTGTGTTTTGTTTCTGCTCCATTTGAGACTCCCGTTTGGTTTTTTCCTCCAATTGCTGCTTGATGGTCTGGATTTGTCCATTAATTGAACTTATCGCCTTTTTATAAGTATCAATTGCCTCCAAATAATGTGTTCTCAGTTTATTTTTGTCTATTGGTTTCTCATCGGCTTCTGGAACATGATCCCTGCACTCCACATACGCTCGCTTCACTTGATCATAAACTGAATTCAGCTCCACTCTTGTAGCCTCCAAAGAATGTACGTCCTCATCTGTTTTTGCAATTGAGAAAATTGAAGCAAAATCCTGCAGATCGTTTACGCAGTTTGCAAATTTTTCACGCATACGTTTTTCCATCCTGATAATGTTGAGCGTTTAACTCTATAACAAATTTTTGCTTTGCAAGAATATGATAAAGTTGCTCAAATCTCGAGGAAGTAAGTTTTTAAGGGGTCAAAACGTTTTCAAATAATTTTACAGAGTAAAATTTTGAAGTTAATTCCCAAATTATTAGACAAACGACAAGATGAACTTTTGAGCCTGAATGTGTATGTTTTGGTTTACGATTGAGTTGAGTGAGAGAGAAAAAAAAAAATATTTAATGTAAATATTTTTTTTATAAGCCGAGAATATATTTTAGCTGAGTCAATTGGGCGAAGAAAATCAATAGACACAATTAAGTAAAATGTCCAAAAAAAGGACAAATGTCTTTCGAAAACGTAAAAATCGTCAAAAAGTTTACGAAGCACTCCGTCTGTCCACCAAACGAGATTTATGCCAAGCAACGATGCTGTTATCCAATGTGGTTTTTTTTTGAGCAATTTAAAAATTTGTTTCACAATTCAAAAAATATATGTTGGTTTTCCAATGGAATTGATGTAAGAAAATTTTATCCAAAAGGGTAAATTTTTCCAAAAGAAAATGTCTTCAGAAGTGTTAACGATCGATGTCAATCCAAAATGCGTGATGGGATGCCAATAATATCAATAGGAAAGTAATATCCAAAAATGTTTAAATCTCAAAATATTCTCATAAAAATTTCGTAGCAGGTTCCAATCCAATATGTGTGTTTGGTTGCAAAAGGTACAAATGCTGTATGTTGAATCCAAAAATGTTAAAAGTATCGAAAAATATCCAAAAAATTACAATGGATATTTTACAGTTCAAAGGGTCCGCTGGGTTGCGCAACGCTATATAGTTGTAATTGTTTTCCAAAAAAATTGAAAAGTCCACAAAGTTGTGCAAGAAACATAAATGTTGATTTTGAAATCCAAATTGTGTAGGATTGTGAAAAGTTTCTCCAATCAAAAGTATCAAATTTTTCAACGATGTTTAAAATCGCTTAAAATTCCGCTTGTAGGAGGATTTTAATTGTAGCAAAGACAAAAAGTTATAACTTCAACTTTTTGTTCGAATGTTTGTCATAGGTAACAAATATTCCAAATGCGCAAATAAAGTACAAGTATTTTTCAAAAACTTCAAATCCAAAGAAATATTGTTCAAAATAGTTTTCAATAGTAAAAATGTTTATCAGGGTGTAATATCATGAATATCCAAATGTTATGACAAATTATTTGAGGTTGCCAATATAAGTTTTTATAACCTTCAATTATTTTGTTCAACAAATGGATTTCATGTAAATTGGTATGTGTTGCGATGACGCCAAAAATTGCGCCCAAAAAACTTGATATGGCGATTATGTATTTATATAGTAGTATGTAACTCCAAAATATTTATGTGTTTGTAAATTATGACGCCAAGAATTGCGCCAAATTTTGTATACGCTATGTATTTAAAAATGTAAGATTTCCAAAATGCATGTAAAAAATCCACTTCTGTTCTATATTGGTATGGGTCAGTGATTTCCCAAATTCAATATGGTGCACAATAATTTTATGTAAAGTGTCCCAAAAATGGCGGGTCAATTTTCCAACCAAATATTCCAATTTGAACGGACGGACATAGATTAGAGAGAGGATAAATTTTAAACAGTTCCAAAAATTCCAACTTTTTCCACAAAAGTTCCAACTTTCCAACTTTTTCCACAAAAGTTCCAACTTTTTCCACAAAAGTTCCAACACAAAAGATTTTTTTTTCAAATTTTCCCAAAATTGCAATTTTAACGTTAAAAAACTAGGTGTGTGTGTGTGTCTATGTGGATGTATATGTGTGTTCCCTTTATATGCAAGGGTCAACGTCAGTCCTTGATTCGATGTTTGATTTCTGGGTCTTTTTCGTTCAAAAGAGTCAAATTGTTTCCAAGGGTGCTTCTTCAGTGACATTACAGGTCGGTGCCAATAGTTGCCGATCCCTGCATGCTTGATTTCGCCCCAATATCAAATCTTATTCGTACTCACTTTGTTTTCTTTGTGGAATGTAATGTGTGTGTATGTGTGTATATTCCTGTCTTCTTCAGTGATGTTCCAGGTCTTCTTCTTGTTGGCGCCTTTTGTTGTTGTGCTGATGTTTTGATGTTTTTGTTGTCTTCTTATTTGATTTTTTGCAATGTATGTATTTTCACCTTGTTGCACTCTTAGTTTTCTTGTTGTTGTATTTATCACTACTCTCACTTTTTGTTCAAGGTGTTGTTGTATTTGCACGGTTTTTTTTTGAAAATTATTTTTGTTGTGAGTG